GTTCTCTAATTTCAAATGTCAATTTACTCATCTCAGCACATTCCATTATTTTGAATCACTGCAGTTGTTAAATTAGTAACATGGTTGTTAAGTGGACCTGACTTCCCTGTTGACTTTGCTTGCAAGAAGGTCACAAAAGGGGATCACATGACACCCCGCCTGCACAATGCAACCGTCATAAATAGGAGTCAGTTCCCAAGTGTCTGAATTTTGATCAAGTGACCATGGGTATACTGTAAGGGTGAAAAGCGATCATAAGTCACCTTTTTCAGTGGTGCTGTAACTTTGAACGATCACTAAATGAACTGTTGTAAGTCGAGAACTAAATGTATAGTAGCACAAGGAGGTGACAAGTTGTTTTTTCTATTTTCTTATATCTCTTTGCTCCCAACCATCATAATCCAGTCATGTTCAGGAAAGGGAAAATAAATTCATGCATCCCTTCTGATTAAGACCTTCTTCCAAAATAATAATGGAAGGTCTGGAGCTATTTCTATATATGTTGAAATTTACCATGTTTATTAAGGCAAATATGCTCAAAGTGCAGTTAAAAAAGTGCAGTTTTATTAATTAAATTAATAATTTAATAAACCTGGTTAATTAGTTTATGAATTCTAAAATGACTTTGGCTAATTAATAAAGAATAAGATTATCCAATATAAGAAAGCATGATAACTATATATGACTACCACGCATTGACTTGGCAGTCACTGATTAATGACTAAGGAATGCTGATTTTTCTTTTCTTTAAAGAATCAGAACCTTCGGGTGTATCAAAATATAGTTTATATTCCAGCTTGAATATCTGATTGTGGCTATTTTGAAGAGATTTGTCATAGGCAGAATTTAAGCAAAATTAAGTTAAATATGCCTGCCATATAAGGCACGCACCAGCTTGCATTGCAATGAAGCTTTCTTTGGCAAATAAATAGTAATCATTTGCCAAATAGAATAAATTCTGGATTTAATGCGTTAATAGGGAAAAGGTTGTGTTGCTTTAAAGCAGAATGCGCATAGAATCTAAATGTGATTTTAGGATGAATACTTTACAAATGCTAAAAATACCAAAAGGGCTGAATGCAAAAACAGATACATTTTGTTCATGGCATCCAAAATCTACTAAGTGAAAGTCTTTGTTAAAGCAAAGTTATCAACGATAGACTATTTCTTATTTTTTTTGTTAAAAGAAAACCTAACTAAACATCTACAGACTAATGCCCTTTGGTTTATTATGAAAAATTGTAATTACCTTTTTAAATAACAACTTGCACAGCTAGAAGTAATTAAATATGTACATAGGATAAATATTCCCTCTCACTAGGACTCTTTTTGAAATAGTTCTGTACATGTACGCAGAAGAAATATGTCACAACTAATAATACTCTTCTATACTTAGTATCTAAAGTACTTGACTCTCCTGTGGTGCCCAATGGTTTCAGGGATGTGTTAGTCTTGTTTTCTTAGAAACAATATGGAAGTGGCTTGTCATTCTTTATTTCCATTATATTTTTTGCACTTCTGAGTCTAGCTTATAGTAATTCCCATTCTCTACATAGTCATCCAAGTACCAAGCAGATCCATTATTTCAGAACACAATGCTGACACAAGTTCAGCCTTCCTTCAGCTGCCTGTGCTGAGCTGAAGAACCAATGGTACATGGAGTTACTGTTTGCTAAAATTAGAATTTTGGGGGGACTACTATGGTTCAAGGAATGCTATTGCTGCATCCAAGGATCTATTTCTAAAAAAAACACATTATTTGGATTTTCAGGAATTTATTATTTTTATTAAATTAATTATTAAAAATAATTCATTCAAATATTTTCAATTTTTAAGTTGCAAGGTGGATTATAAAAACTATAGAGATAAAAACTTTTATAGTACTTTTAATTGGAGATGCATACAATTTTTCAGCTTGAGGCACATACTTCATGGTTTTTTATTGGTGGTTAACAGTTCATAGGGATGCAGTGGCTCAGTGGCTAAGATGCTGAGCTTGTCAATCAGAAGGTTGGCAGTTCGGCAGTTTGAATCCTTAGCGCCACGTAACGGAGTGAGCTCCCATTACTTGTCCCAGCTTCTGTCAACCTAGCAGTTGGTGGGAAGGTAACAGCGTTCTGTGTGCCTCGGCATTTAGTCATGCTGGCCACATGACCATAAAGACAGTGTTGGCACTTCAGCTTTAAAACAGAGATGAGCACTGCCTCCTAGAGTCTGGAATGACTAGCACATACAGTATGTGCACGGGGAACCTTTATCTTTAACAGTTCACATTCCAGAAAGTTGCTACTAATAAGATGGGATCCAAATTTAATTAAATCTGACATGTTCGCATGAGCTGTAGTTTACAAACATTTATTCCTTTTAATTAAAATTGTTAATATGAAAAGGTGCTACCAAATTTCTGGTTTTGGCCTATGATAGACTCACATGCCTCTCCTCCATGTAAAAGTATATGTATAATGTATATGTATACACACAAGTAAAATAACATTCGATTTCATAGGCATCTTACAAGGAGGCTTCTTTGCAGCCACGTTTTTGGGAGACACTTCAGTTTCAGTAGTGGGTTACTACCGGTTTGGTTTGGTTTGGTTTATTAGATTTATATGCCGCGCTTCTCCCAAGGACTCAGGGCGGCGTACAACATTAAAAGCAACACATAATACAAAAGTTGAAAAAAATTAAATAGAATATCCCAAACAAACCCAATTAGAATTGACAATAATTTTTTTTAAAAAAAATTGAATTAAAATTAACAATGATCAATAATTTATTTTGTTTTGTTCAGGCCATGCTTGGCTTGCTGGAAAAGCCAACTTTTTAGGGCACGTCGGAAGGACCAGAGGTCGGGGATTATACGAAGCTCCAGGGGCAGCTCATTCCAGGGCCAAACAGGTTTGGCCCAGTTTGTCCAAACTGGTAGTAGTTTGGCTGCCTGGGTTGCTGGAACTGGCAGCGACCCAGGCTTGCCATCCCCCTGAACTAGTTCTCCAGGTAGCACCAGAGGCGCCGCCATTTTGTTTTTCAGTTCTATGCATGTGCAGAACAATTTTAATTGCACTGCGCATGCGCACGCAGCATGCATCAAACGTGCATGGCGCACACATGAGCAAATTGGCAGTAGTGTCTCCTGGAACTCACCCTGTTCAGTTTGTGTATCTCTTTAAAATAATAACTTTTTGTCATGATACCTAGTGATGGTTGCATGTATCTATCCAAAATCAAATTTCTAGATCTTTCTATTACTTTCAATTATTTTCTGTTTGTGACTGCCACAGTTCTTTTACCTAAGAATAGATGAGGATTGGAAGTATTGGATAGTTTTCCCCCCAACAATGGAGGAATCAACCATTTTTATTAGCATGTTGCTTTTTCTGGCCCAGCAGTCCTTGGAGAGGATTCTAGGTTCAAAATAAAGTTGCATCAGCAACTCATTAGACCTAATTGGAATGTTTGGAACATTCTTCGTAACTAACAGCAAACTTGAATTGAACATTAATTACCTGTATCCTCCCTTCTCCACATTTTTAGCATTAACCACCATTCTGTCCGATGAATAATTGTGCAACTCAAAAGTGTGAACATACAATATCTTAAGGAAGGTGTTGTTTATTATTATAACAAAGATTATTGACTGTTTGATGACAAACTTTGTATACTTTCCTTTTCCTGGCAACCATCACTTCAGAAATCATGTGGAGAAATTCCTAAATCTATTGTAGCCTTTTCATAGAAATTAACTTTTTCATCTCTGCTTCTTGAAGATTGAATGCTGTTGACTTTTCATTTCTCCTATCCAGAAAGTTAGTTCAGTCCTTACTCTAGTTGAATTTCAGAACTCCACTTCAAATCCTGGAGGATTTTTGTGAAGGTTTATAAATTGGTGCTTAAGAAGAGGATTTAGTAAAATATAACTGGTTCCCCCTCCCCCTCCCCTTCCCCTTCCTTCCCCCTCCCTCTCATCCTGGAGTGACAGGTCAGAAGA